GTCAGCGTATAAGCTGTCTGGGGAATAGCCAAGATCTTCTTTATCATTTAGCTTACAATAACTTCCCATTTTACTTCCATAATGTGAAAAATTTCATAATAAAACTGGATTTTTCAAAAATTTTTCCATTGGAATTGAACATGAAAAGTGAACTTTATGATATATAGCTGAAAAAAAGACCCTGGTAATCTCACACATCTCTTCTATAGTTTCAAAGGAGATATCAAGAATATCTTAAAACTCTGGTTAGATTCATCTAGGTAAGTAAACACCTGAAAGATCTGTTTTATAAATGTGTTTTAAAACAGGTCATCCTTTTCCCACAGGTTGATCTTATGTAATTCTGGCAAATTGTGGCCTTACCTTGCACCAGCCACTGCCCCATCATTCTTGCCAAGAGGCTCATCCAACTCAACACCACACCAATCACCTTTCGCAAAGTCAGTTTCGCCCAGGAAACGCACAACACCTGCCTTGGTTCCACCAACCTGAGAAGTGCAAGCAAAAAGTTCCCTCAAACTTCCCACAATAAGCCACTAAGCATGAAGACAGACAGGAGACGGTCTTACCAGAACACGATGACCCAACTTCAGTTCCCGCTGCAACTTCTTGGCCGAATCCGTCTCAGACAGATTGGATGCAGACTCGCTGGCGGCCCTGGTTAGGTTTGTTGAGGTCTTGGTAGTTGCACTAATGGTTTGAGTGACAGGAACGGGATCTTTGGCAGGGGAGGTGGATGTCTTGTTGGTGGGCGTCTGTGTGCCATTGGCCTCACGCTCTGGCACGGGAGTGTGGGACAGTTTGGAGGGCCGAGTAAATATACCTCTCAAGTCCTCACACTGGAAGTAGCGCACTCCGGCCACAGAGCCATCGTTCTTCCCAATGGGCTCGTCTAGAACTATTCCCGCCCATTGGCCCGGTGCAAACTGGGTCCCTCCGATGAACTGCACATAACCCGGTTTATTTCCATTGACCCAAACTCGTTCGCCAACAGAGAAATCTGACGCAGCATCTTGGGCCGTATTAGAGGTTGGGGATGTTACAGCCTTGGCGCCAGCTACAATCAGAAAAAAATAAGAGCACGTCAGCACTGAATCAGTGTGTTTCTTATGTAACCAATGGGTGACTCACCTGAGGTGGGCGAGGTTTTGGTTGGCATCGCAGCTGGTTTACCAATCTTGGTGGGTGGTTTGAGACCACTCGGCTTCCCCGTACTCATTTTCCCTGCTTTATGCACACAAATGTGCTATTCCTGCAGAGCCTGGAAGAATGACAACCCTCCCTGACCAGATCCGATTCCCTAACAGAAGAAAATGGTGAATACAGAATACATAGTTCAGAATACAGTTTTATTGCGTTTAGTTGTTTTATTGTGTGATAAACCAAGAACCATGGCATCCATAATAATTGACCCTTTGCAAAGAGCTTGACTGACATGCAATCTGACCAAACATAATGCCAAAACCTGCCATTTTATCCGACAAACAAATCAGACAGGAGAGTAGATTAAATTCAGTGGACTTAAACTGTGTGTATTGACGTCTTTCCGCGGTTGAAATAAGTTCAGATGCTCATTCATGTTTATTTGGTGCTTTAAGTAAATATGAAAAGACGATCGGTTTATGTGCCGCTTGAACTGAGGCAATACAGCGATCTGTCACGACACATTAAAGATCCACGATAGGTGTTTGTTTGCATTTCTTAAAAATGCCAAAATTATAAATCTAAGACTTTGTTTCATACCAGAAATAACCTGTTGTGTCTTGTGCTCCGCGATGTATTTTTCACTGCGTGAGAACATGATGCGTAGTGTGAGAGCGGCATGGCTTGTCGGACATAGCAATACTAACTAAGGAGGGCGGGTTTTTGCGAAGGGTCAATTGTGAAGTTATGATGAAACTGAAATAGCAACAGATATTTATTCTGTATTGTGACATACATTTTAATGGTTATCGAAAAAGGCAGGACTTGGTTCTATCCACCGGTCGTTGATTGGATGTTGAGATGTGGGCGTGGGCACTCTAGCATGTGCTTGTAGGGGCGGGGTTACATCATAGAGCAATTAATATTTAAAAAATGTAATTATAAGGTCAAAAAAAGTACAAATGAAACATGCACAAATCAATTGTTCACACTAATATCCATAACACACATTTAGAAAATAGATATGGTGAATTTTCATTTCATGCCCACTTTAAAGCAAGAGGGGCCACAACTATTTGTAACGTTAATGTGCAAAGCTTCCAGTGTAGGCTGCTTTCAGTTGTTTTAGGTGTACAAAACAGTCCGTTGTGTTGCTACAAACTGGTATTTGTTATCATATGATTTTTAATTATTGTAACCATAAACAAACTAGACTGTTGCGCAAACCGTTTACTGCACTGTTATTCACCCATGTTGGTATTCCATAGCAGCTAATGATTCAGAAGTCCGGCACATTCACAGGAAATAGCTTACTTCCGCCTTAAAACAAGTGGGTGGGTGTGTTGGTATTGCTTTGATACATAACATGGTAATAAATCATTATGTTTATGCATGGTAAAACCATTACTGTCACAGTATTGTTTATAAAATGCATGGTGTTACCATGATATTTTTGTTAGTGACTGCTGAAGGAAGAATCCATATTATGATGATTTACGTTCTAACTGCCGTCACTATGGTAGTTTGGTGGGAACTGTTGGGTTACACTTTACTTGAAGGGGTGTGCATAAGACTGACATGACACCTTCATAATCATGACATGACACCTACATAATCATGACATGACACGTCATGAATATGAAGGAGGTTTTATGCATGTTTATGACAACTGTCATTAAGTGTCATTCGCTCAGTTATGTAATTTTTAATGCAAAGATGACATTGTTTGAGATGTCTTTGTTATGGGCTATGGTTAGGGGTAAGGGTAGGGGTAGGGTTAGGTCATATAATGTCATATTTGCATTAAAAATGACATAACTGAGCGAATGACACTTAATGACAGTTGTCATAAACATGCATAAAACCTCCTTCATATTCATGACGTGTCATGTCATGATTATGAAGGTGTCATATCAGTCTTATGCACACCCCTTCAAGTAAAGTGTTACCAACTGTTGTTACCATGGTGACACCAAGGCTATTTGTGTCAGCTAATGACAGTTAATCCTGAGTACAAAATCATTTATATTTACGCTAATCCACAACATGACACACAATCAAGCTTAACGGTTAAAAAACTCACTTACAAAAAAGTACCATGGTACTACTACCTGTCTTCGTGGACATGTACCATGGTAATATAATCTGACACTGCCATTTTTCCATGTTACTACCACCAAAGCACTTTTTCGTAACACCAATTATAACATAATTGTTTACTTTATCCATTAATAATAAATCAGTGGTTGTTCGTTTCATTTTAAGAAAGAGTAAATAAAGTTACCTGTACTTTTGGTTATGGTTATTATCTAAGTTAAATTTTAAAAATAAGAAGAATTAATGACGCTTAAATGTAATCAACGATTTCAATCAATTTGGACTGAACCGTTAACATGACTAAATATTATTGTTATTGTTTATTTTTAGCGAGCTAACGATAACTAGCCGAACGATACCTGTCAAAACACAACTATCCACGAATTTCACATTGTATTCCGTAAAATAATACCAAAATGTCTGTTTTCAGTCAGTAATTCAGTGTATTTGTGTTTCTACGCGGCTGCGACTTCACGTCAACAATAACAAACTGTCTGCTAGCCGACATTAGCCAGAGGAGCTAAATCCTCTAAATGCAACACAAATAAGCTCAATGCAGTGGGCTTTAGAGAAATCAAAGTGATGCTAGTCTCTTACCTGAACCGTTTTAATGTGTAGCATTCCTCTGTGGTAAAGAGAAATGAGGGATTTCGTGTTTGTCTGGATGATCTCACACTAGTGATGATGATGATGATGATGATGATGGTGATGATGGGTGAGGCAGTTCAACACGAAGCTGCACCCAAACACTTTAATTACAGTGACTTTTGACATGACATCTGAATAATGTACATTAGCAAGTTCAACAACAATTAAAATGGGGTGGCATCCAAGAAAGTGGGGGAAAAAGTGGATTTATGAAATGATGCATGGGACTTTTGTTGCAGAATAAGTTTGATTGTAAAACAATTGTCTTTCAGGCAATTGCAATGTCTCGATAGGGAGAAGCAGAAGATTTGTTGACTTGTGATAAAAATGCGTAATTTTGAGGCCGAATTCTTTAATATATTTTCATCAATAATAATGTTAACGCAGACATATCTTTGGATTGAATTATTGTGAATGGATGTGACCGGAAGGTGTTAGTTGTCTGTGGCGGCCACTAGTGGTCAAATCTGATTAGTGACCAAAATGTAAAAAATAAAGTAAATCAGTAAATTGTAATATTTTTTGCATTGTCGCGTTCTTTTATGTATTACTGAATGAATGAATGAATTCATTTTCATTAAAGTTGAGAGACCGGAATAAATGTCGCATTTGTACTATTCTGACCACAAGAGAGCGCACAGTGATTAAATATCGCAAATCAATCAATCAATCATTAACTAGCTAATATGTTTCCACACTATTTCTGATAGTAACTCTGATAGTAAACTCCATGTACCTTTGCACAGGTTTAATTGATGACATAGTGTTATTATTACCTCAGTTTTAGGCCCTTCCTAACTGTATTCTGAACCTGCAACCTGTGGTTTTCGCATGCTGATACATTCCTCAACAATAATTAAAGGATTATCAAATAGTTATGTGTATGCATAGCTGTTTTATTTGTGCTTTATGCAGCTTATAATGGAATCCAATATTTAACATCCCACATCATATAAAAAAACAGCCCATGACCGTATTGATTGCAACGTTCCAGTTAAATTGCAATATTGTCACATGCATATTCACAAATTTCCTTATCTAACATCCGGGGAACTTCGAAATTGTTCTTCAGACATGATTCCGTTGTGTGCAACATCTGCATGACTGTGTGAATGTGCATCACCAGAGGGCGCATGCACTGGACATGAGGACTGCTGTACTGGTCCATTATAATATCACGGTCATATCTGCACCTAAACTCAAGGAGACAGTAGGTATAGATCTTGCAGTAATCAGCACATGGATGTTTTCTGAATGCAGCGCTCGTGTTGCGTGCTAATCACATGCATCTGTGTTCCTCAAGCAGTCCGAAAGCTTCTGCAATAGATGGGAAGACCAGGAAACCAAAGGAGTCCGTACAGGATTTGTGTCCAATACACAACATCGTGTAAGGTAAGGTGTACACGAAGCTTGATTTGCATCAAATAAAAAAAGGCATGTTTGTTTACAATTTTTTGGATTCGAAATATTCGTTTCCAAACATACGTTTCATAGTGTTATTTTATACACATAAAAAAGGATACATTTTATATGTGCAAAGATCTGATGCACGTGTGGAAGGATCTTTTCACATTCCAGCTGCTGCCATTTTGTTTATGTTTTAACCCATCTGATCTGTTCGGTTATTTTAATCAGATAGGACTTCAGCAGATATAATATAATATATCTACATTTCCTGGTGACTTTTCCTACACTAGCCATCTGAACACACAAGTCTAAGTGACTGTGGTGTTTCCGCTCAGATTTGATCGACCATTGTTAAATTAATTAATAAATAGATAAATAAAATATGTGAGACCATAACAGAGCAATTATGAAACAAATTGTCAAATAATAATATAAACCATTGATGCACATTAATGCAGAACAGACGCAAACAAATGAATGGATGATGCTATAATACTTTTTTTGTGTGTGTGTCAATATTCAAACATTCAGATTGAGATTAACTTTATTGGCCTGGTTTTAGAGTAGCTATAAATGACATACATAGAGCGACACAAATAAAAACATACAAGCACAAAATGCAACAAATGGCAAAGTTGATCCAGAGAACAAAGAGTTAAATCAGTTAATAAATAAATAACTAGAAACAGCCACAGTGCAGAACACAGTGAGGTGGAAGAAACCGTGATACTATTGGTTCGTTTGATATAAGCAGGTTCTGCGCAGAACCGCTCACAGGTGATCATCTCTGTAGGGGGCGGGGTTCATGTGACATGCTGATACGTGCCAATACTCTCGCGAGAGCAAGGCAGCTGTTGCTTTATTTCAGAATCAGAGGCTCTAAAAAAGCGCGATAAAAAAACGATGATAATCGACTCGTTGACTACTCAGGTTATCTCTCATTGGCTTAGAACAATCGTGACATTTTATTCTTGTCTAAATGTCAGTCTTTAAACCAGGGCCGCTGCTGGCCAAATGGGTTGCCCTAAGCAGAATTGTATTGTTGTGCCCCCTCCCCCAAATATTTTGGAAATAATAAAAAAGAAAAACACATCAACTATAGGGGTCAAAATTGAACTTTAATAAAACATAAATGTAAATAAATTGTAATTAAATTGTATTATTTACAAATTACAATTGTAGCTCTACAGCAAAAAATAAATAAATTACAAACTAAAATTACACACATTAAATTAAACATTTTAAAAGATTAAATATTATCAGAATAAACAATGATTGAATAAAAAAAATCAAACGCAGTGGCTATTTGCACTAAGTGTAAATTGCAATGGATTCTATTTACACTAAGTGGAAATATCAGCATTTTCTTAGTGATAGATGCTATTTACACTAAGTGCAAATAGCTATAGTTTCCATTTACACTATAATTAAAATAGCAGGATTTTCTGCTATTTATACTACTTAAAAGGATACTCCACCCCAAAATAAAAATTTTGTCATTAATCACTTACCCCCATGTCGTTCCAACCCCGTAAAAGCTTTGTTCGTCTTCGGAACACAATTTAAGATATTTTGGATGAAAACCGGGAGGCTTGTGACTGTCACATTGACTGCCAAGTAAATTACACTGTCAAGGTCCGCGCTGCACGGATGCGCTGTTTTCGTTCAAATCAAAGCGTAAATACACGTAGAAAACGTATATCCTTGTGTCGTAGCTGACACAGAAGAGCGTACGCTGCTTGCGTTCAGTGGATATTCTCCAAAATGGCGCTACAGTGATGCGGAGAGACACAGAGGAGTCGAATTGTTGAATAAAGTCGTTATTTTTGTTTTCTTCGCGTACAAAAAGTATTCTCGTCGCTTCATAACGTTACGGTTGAACCACTGATGGCAGATGGACTATTCTGACGATGTCTTTCATACTTTTCTGGACCTTGACAGTGTAATTTACTTGGCAGTCAATG